TTCCAGTGATTAATTCTCAGTTAAAATGGTGTTTAGACAAAGTTTAGGACCTATGTATGTGCCAGTTAACTGGATCTCAATATAGCTACACACGCAATGATACACTCTGGCCACTTTATGTGCTCCAATCTTGTATCTACACTGTTTGTCCATTTTATCAGCTCCACTTACCATATAGGTGCACTTTGTAGTTGTACAATTACAGACTGTAATCTGTCTGTTTCTCTCTCTTCTACTTTGTTCGCCCCCTTTTACCCTGTTCTTCAATGGTTAGGACCCCCACAGGACCACCGCAGAGCAAGTATTATTTGGGTGGTGGATCATTCTCAGCACTGCAGTAACACTGACGTGGTGACGTTACCTTTTGTATGTATGTGTTACACAAAATGGTTCATACACAGCATAAACACTGCAGGTCAGTGATAGAATGAAAATAGAACCAAGAATATCCAGCCAATAGAATCTAGTGACCAGAACCTGACCACTGATGAAGAACTAGAGGATGACTAACACAGACTGTGCCGTTGTCTCTGACCTAACATCTATGAGGTGGACCAAAAAGCTAGAAGTGTCTAATAGAGTACAGAGTAAGTATTTAAGAACTCCAGCAGCACTGCTGTATCCGATCCACTCGTAACAGCACAACACACACTAACACACCACCACCACATCAGTGTCACTGCAGTGCTGAGAATGAGCCGCAAAAGATCTCAGTAGTTCTGTAATTATACAAGTGCACCTGTGTAGTAAGTGGACCTGATAAAATGGACAGTGAGTGTATATACAGGGGAAGAGTACCTGTTAGAGGGGCCCCAGTGTATTTGTGGTATACATTTACTGGCTACTTTCCTAGAAACACCTACCTTGTACCTCCACCTTGTTGGCTTATCTGTTGAGGCACTTTAGTGCTTATTAAAATGTTTAGTATTGCACTTATGTCTCTCTGAATTTGGCTACCTTTCCTTTTGGGGTATGAAGTGTGTGAGTTGAAACATGTGGGTGGAGCTGGAAATAGTGCAAACTACTGACTGGTCAAACGCAGTCATCACAGAATCCTCACACAGTGTCACTGAGTCAGATGACCATCATTAACAACCAAAAGAATTGCTGTCTGTGACTCAAAGCTTGAAGCTCCGTTGTTGCTGCCGTTGTTTGTGTTCACTGTTAATGCTAGATTTGTGTGAAAACATAATGATCTGGGAAGCAGACACAAGTTTGTAACCATACCATGCTGCCTAGTGGAAAAAGGCTGTTAGATCTGGAGTTGGAACCTGCAGGAGAACACTTCTCCAGGAGGAGGGATGGAGACCACTGCACTAGCCTTTCATTAGTGTTCCATTTCTGACTGCAGAACCACTGGATATTTGGTGGTGGTCACTCTCAACACAGCAGCAACACCACTGTGCACGATACACTCTGTAACAGAGGCTGAGTCCAAGTGTGAGTTTGTATTGCCAACAGATTTAACTGTCTAGAAACTGCTTATCAGAAGCAAGCAGAGCAGAGACATTCACTGAAAAGGGAAATAAGGAAAAAGAACGAAGAAAACAAAACTAAAAGAGCTAAACAGAGAACTAACGGCAAAATAAAACCAAAACCTAAAACCAGATAAATATCAACTAGCAGTACAGAATATAGCAATAAAGAGGTTACAGAGGCAATGCAAAACAAAGGGACTGAACAAACACAGGGGTATAAATACACTGAGAACAAACAAGAAGCACCTGGGACTAATGAGAGGGTGGGGCTGTAGTCTACACACAGGTGAGATAGGACACGGGAGAGGACGGCAACCAAAACAACAACAAAAGCATATGGCTAGGGACAAGTGACTAGACTAGACTGGTGCAGGGACAGAAAAGGACAGAGACAGACCAGCGAAACCATGACACACTATTACCAGCACCACACACACTATCAAGTCAGTGTCACTGCTGCATTGAGCATGATCCACCACCCAAATAATATCCGGTCACCAGCGGTCCAGTGGTCAGAAACTGATCACAGTTGACATGACAACAGATGGACTACAGCCTGAAATTGTGGGACCTCATAGTGGTCAGTGAATGTGTACTGAACAGTAATGGGCATTTCTGTTGATATGAAAATAGTGAGATGCTACAAAGGCCCATCCCAGCGTATGTCTTAAAGGGCAAGGACTACATGTTGACTTTTAAAGGGCCTTTATTCTATATTCTCCATTTTTATAACCCCTTATAGTGGTTTAATGTTACAAAAATAAGTTTTATCCTCTCTCTATCCTTTAGAGGTAGACAAGTTATTTATTTACTTTGCCTTAAAGACGAATGATGTCTGTTCTGATTTGCTGAGCTGTATTATACTGAGCTCTTTCAAAAAGCAGTCAGGGCTAAAATATACAGAACAAGGTATTAAGTCTGAACTTAAATCCTGAGAGAAACTCCTTCCAGTTGTCTCCTTTCAGTTGAATCTACAGTCGTCTGCAAGAGTTTGAGCACACCCAGCGAAACTGCATGTTTTGTTGATTTTCTAAGTGCAAGTATGGTAACACTGTCCTCAGCGGGGAACAAACTTACATATGTAATATTTCTGCATATTCTAGTGCACAATTTACATTTGTTGGCTGATTTTAACATATTGGACAAAAATTAAACAGCATTTTTTTTCCCCCTAATTTGCTTCCTGACAGCCAGGAACAGCACAGTGTTTAATCATTTTCTCCATGTCTTCCATTCCAATAATTCTGCTGTAGACTTTCTGCAGTAACAGTACTCCTTATGACTTCAATGTGAACCAGTTGGCTAAACTGTGAAAAGAGTGGTCATCTGTAAATGTATTTGTGGTTGTGACATCAAAACCATGATGAAAACAGAACAGCGCTTTTCCATATGTGGACTGAGGAAAGATGTTTTAAATGTTTAACTTTACATGTGCAAAACTCTGGTCCTGGAGGGAAAGCACATTCGGTGATTCTCTTACTCAAACGCATCCACTAAACCTTGCAATTGACTGAGGAGTTGAATCCGATGTCTTTGAGTAGGAAAATCAACAAAATGAGCTGGTTACCAGCCCTCCAGGGCCAGAGTTGTGTGCCCCTGGTTTGCATAGTACATAAAAAATCATGTTATGGGCTCCTTAATGCCCTGTTTAAAGACTCTAAAAGCTTTTGTCTCTAGTCTGGACATTTAGTGCATTGTGAGCAGTGGTCAGATCAGAGCAGAAGTGCATAGTAAAAGTGGAAGTGTGCCCTAAAACTGGAAATGCATACTAAATTGTGAAGTGTGAGGCCATCGCTGAGTTGGCGGAAAGAGAGTGTGTGTGTGTGTGTGTGTGTGTGTCTCCTCTGATGTGTTTGTTTCTCTGACATGCAGCTGCAGCACTTTCCCACCCTGACTTGGCATCTCATGAACAGGCACTATGGCTTTGGCCTCTCTCTCTCTCTCTCTCTCTCTCTCTCTCTCTCTCTCTCCCTCCCTCTCTCTCTCTCTCTCTCTCTCAGTGTGATTGGCTGTGTTTGTGTGTGTTCAGTCATAGAAACAGTGGGGCAAGTACAAGGGGGTTAATCACCCTGGGGCTCATGTGCTCATTTAGGTACTGACGCAACTGTTCTCTCGTAACTCACAGAATGATCCAGTTTAATATACCTCAGCAGTTACCGTCCATCAACAACACACAGACAGAACTGACTTTATTTATCTCCCTCTTATTCATAATGCAGCTCAAACCTGCATATATTCATTATTTATCATTTTAAAATCTTAAAGAGGTGGTATAATGTAAACATTAGATTAGTGGGTAGCATGGCATGGCACAAGACATAGCAATAGCGAGTAAGCAATCCAATTATATTGTCTAAAGTAATGTAAAATTTTACAAGATCCTAATTACACCACTGAGAGAGTGAGAGAGAGAGAGAGAGCTGCAGGGTGAGGACAGAGAGAGAGAGGCTTCATATTCTGAAATGTGAGTCCTGTATTATCCCGTCATTTATTCAGTAGCAGCTGTAATGTCTGTGTTATTGTGTATAAGTAAGTACGAAAAACCAAATGAAAAATTTCATTTCTTACAGCACAGCAGCAATTCACCTCTGCAACCTGTTGCCAAGCAACAATACCATCTTGATTAATATGTGGAGATTTTCTAAGTGGAAATGGACTTTAGAGATCATTAAGGAGCACAGAAAACATCAAAAATCAAATTAAAATAAAAACAGCTTTCAGTAAAGAGCAGAGTATCCAGAGCAACAAAATTTGATATAGCCTCTGTACCACACAGCTATTAGCATATATTTATACAGTTCTTATCTTTTAAAGGCCCTACAGTTCAGCCTACTGAAGTTTAGACCCGACCATTGTCCCTCCAGAGGTCACCTTGTGACATTTGTTTGTGTTTATGCTTTCACGTGACTATTTTTCAACCACTTTGTATCTTCTAGAATTAAACAGGCTGATTTTGTTGCTGCATCTTTAAGCTTTATATGTAAATATAAATATGTAGATATATGTAAATGGCATCCAATTGGCTGAAAAAGCAGTCAGAGCTGAGACACTTGTTCAGCATAAACAGGTGGAGCTAAACTGCTGTAAGCTGAACAGGTGGATGTATGTAGGCATCTTTGTGACATCACAAAACAGAGTGTTTGTGCAGGTTAGTTTCCATATGTGGACTGTATGAAATAGAGAGTGAATGGTCAGTTTTCCATGATATGGGCCCTTTAAAGGCGAATGATGATATTGACAAGCTCGTCTCCCACAGCTATGCTGTTATGGTAACTTTGAGTGCGTGTTGTTTGATTTGGGAATGTTTGAATGTGTAAAGTGAAGGTGGGTCAGTCTGAGTGCTGACTTGCATTAATGCACTGGCGCGTGGATGTCTTTGCAGTCCGTGAGACCTAAGAATACCTTATACAGTCACCGAGCAAAACAGCAGCCGAGAGAGAGAGGGGGAGAGAGAGAGAGAGAGAGAGAGAGAGAGAGAGAGTGAGAGAGTCGAGTGCATGCCAGCAGCGAAGCGAGGGAGGAAGAGGGTTTACAGTGTGGAGTTTAAGACGCTGTGCAACTAAAGCAGAAGGCTGAGTGTGATTGCGAGATTTCAGAAAATCACTCCGCAGACGGACTGGAATTATCACAGAGGGGACTCCTCCATCTCTCTTTTGCACTCACTTACTTTCAAGCATGACCAGTTAAAGAGCAGTAGCCCCACAGAGCTGAGAGCGAGCCACTGAAAGCCTTAAGAATGGCTGCTGGACTGACGCTGACACTCGCTCGTCTACCGTCCCTCTGAAATTGGAGAAGAGAGAGAGGAAGTTGTGAGACAGCGGTGGCTGACTCGTTTGGCATTTCGCAAAAGCCGCCTGAACTCTTACAGACCGAAGTGATGGGGACAGTGAGCGAACTGTGCGTGTCCAGCTTCCAGGCTTTCCTGTGTCCGACAGTGTTGATCACTGCTCCAGGTAAGGCAGGTGGGGATGGAGGTTGAGAGGAAAGGGCTTTGCTGCTGTTGATTCTTGCTGTGAGGCTTGCATTAAAGCTACAATAAGTACGCTTTAAAGATGTATTAAGTGTAGTTCAACCAGTATTGTCCTATTGATTTGCTGTTGATTCTTAAAAAGAAAAGTGCCTCTGGAGGGTTCTTTGAGTGTTGCCATAGAAGAACCACCTTTGTTTCTCTGAAGAACCATGCTTGATAAAGAGAGTGTGAAGAACCTTTTAAAGTTCTAAAGAAGCTTCACGTAACGATTCTGTACCAATTTAAAGGGCTTGTATTGTATGTCTTTGTAGTATTTTGTACCAGTCCAGTGGAAGAGTCTTGTTCCAAAAGGCATTATAAACCACTTTCAGGAATGTTTTTTTGTGACATACGTTTTTGGGAGTAGGCGTTTCACTTAGAAGAAAAATCAGTGCTATATTAATACCACCTTTTTTGGAAAAAAAAAAGATTTAAACAGGCTCTTTTGTTACCTTTCTTTTAAGACTGCTTCAAGACTGCTATATGTAAAGACTGCTTTAAGACTTCTATATGTATAGACTGCTTTAAAGCTGCTTCAAGACTGCTATATGTAAAGACTGCTTTAAAGCTGCTTCAAGACTTCTATATGTAAAGACTGCTTCAAGACTGCTGTATGTAAAGACTGCTTCAAGACTGCTGTATGTAAAGACTGCTTCAAGACTGCTGTATGTAAAGACTGCTTCAAGACTACTATATGTAAAGACTCCTTCAAGACTACTATATGTAAAGACTCCTTCAAGACGTCTATATGTAAAACTGCTTCAAGATTTCTATATGTAAAGACTGCTTTAAGGCTGCTTCAAGACTGCTATATGTAAAGACTCCTTCAAGACGTCTACATGTAAAGACTGCTTCAAGACTGATATATGTAAAGACTGCTTCAAGACTGCTATATGTAAAGACTGCTTCAAGACTGCTATATGTAAAGACTGCTTTAAGACTGCTATATGTAAAGACTACTTCAAGACATCTACATGTAAAGACTGCTTCAAGACGTCTAAATGTAAGTGGGCTCTGTTCTAATTGTCCTAAATTGTGCCTCATTCAAAAAGCAATCTGCGATGAAAGACTCCTTCTAACTTCCAGATAAGTGGACGTTATAAACAGTGTTACATTGCTGTAGGCTGAGTAAGCTTATATAATAAGTTGATTTTTGTGACATCATAGAAGCAGTGCATTCTAAATGGCTGGTTTTGCATCTTAGTTTCCATTTACATACGTTTTGCAGCTAACAGTGTTTACATACTACATCAGACTCTTTTGTGGGCCTTTTAGGGTTCTTCTTGGAACATCATGTGGAGGTTCTTTAAACAGATTGTTCACGCGCACATGTCTCATGCACAAAAGTCATTCTCTGAAGAACCATCCATTGGGAGGTTATTTAAGGGAACCAAAAGAGGTTCTTACAAGGTATTGCTCCAAAGAACCCTTTTTGGCACCTTTATGTTTCTGGTCTAAAATTTGATTTGAATCAAGGAATCATGGATTTTGCATTGAACAGATGAAATATATGACATGAATGAATAAACAGCTGCTGAGATGGAAAAAGGACAGACCTAAAACATACTGAATGAAGCTTTGTGTGACGTCGGTGATGATTGCTTCTACGCCCTTTGAATGTTGTCATGTTCCGGAAGATTGTGATCACGCAGCCGATTGAGAAACACTAAATGTGAGCAAAGACTGATGCAAAGAGCTCTTCCTCTAACATAATGTTGGATGTTTAATTCAACAACTTCTGCCTTCAGCATATAGCAGTGTAGCGTGACTGCACTCCTTGGAGAGTGTTGGGAGGCATTAGTCACTCAGCAGCATATGGACCTCGGTTTTGGTTAATTAATCATAACAATATGGGAATTGGTTTGTGTGAGTGAGTGAGAGAGAATGAAATGGTAAAAGCGTAAACGATTGAAGAGAAAACACCGTCAGGAGGACAGAAATAGTGCAAGCTTGTTCAGCCTAATGAACGTGGTCTCATTATGGTCAGCTTATGTTCTCCCTGCTCTTATAGGACTGCAACTAAAAGCTGTTAAGGAGAACAGGCATATGTAATCCCTCAGGCTGGACCCTGCCAGCAGGCCGAGATTGCCTAAGAATACGCTCTCGGGCTTGGTGCCCCCTTGCCACGCTCAAAGCAGCCAAGCGTGCATGTTGTGTCTTGGGGTTAAAAATTTCCACAGCTTCCTGTTCGACTTTAGTACAGATCTGCTGCAGAATCATCCTCTATTTAGATTCTTTATGCTGATTTTTTGATGTGTTATCAGAAGTAGTGTTCAGATTGCAATCTGACTCTAGACAGTAAGTACAGTACTGTGCAAAAGTCTTAGGCGCTTTAGAAAATTGTATTTAAAAAAGCTGTTTATCTAGGCCCTAAGTGTGTATTTGCTCAAAAAAACACAAACATTAGAATAAATGCAATTAAAATGAATACTGTAAGTAGTGCTTTTGCTTTTCCTTGTGGAAGCCCACTCGTATTTGTATTTATCAACTGGTACTTGGTTTGTCTAATCAGTTCTTCATTATGTCCATTTAAGTGTTCAGTGCGACGTCTGGTGGCATTGAATAGATATCTTGAGCCAAATGTTGTTCTTCTGATCAGCTCTCAAGATCAAGGGCTACAGCCAAAGCTTAACAACATGACTGACCACTGAACAAACAATACAACGTACCAACTATCGCACCCAAACAAACACAAGCAAGAGAAAATCTAATCTTTCTACCTTTGCGCAGATAAAGTCACAGAGCAGGAATAAACATGCTCACACAGGAGAACTTAAGGGCACATGCATTTTATTTCACACATATGCCTTGGTAGAGAAGAGCTAGAACAGAAAGAGGCCAGACAGATGGACTCTTTGGAGTTTGACTTGACTTCATTTTTATTACACAAACCATTGCAAGAATACAAACACATTATCATAAATAATGAAATTAGTTAGGTTACCTGTACCAGTGACCCCTGCCAACTTCAAATTTAATTGTTTTTAAGGGAGTGTCTTTCAGGTGTCTTACAGGGGTGCTCAGCTGTAATTCAAACGCTGGTCAGAGGAGCTTCTTATTTCTGCACTGTCTGTTCTTACAAATTCTCAGAAGGCACAGTAGCTGTTTTGCTGCCCATCATCCACCAGGCCTAGATGAAAATGGTTTCTGCACCAAATAATAGAGGAAGGAGCACAGAGGAAGTAGTCCACCAACAAAAACAGCAGAGCCGGGGCCACTTTGTTCGTACTCTCTGAACGTCTGAATGTTTTCTCGCTGTCACTGTGCAGACAGACAAATTAGAAGTTAACAGTGGTGCAGGCAATCAAGGACAGTAAGAGAAGTGGAAAGACTGCAGTCACAGTCAAAGGGGGTTAGCGTGTGGCAGAGGGTGTTCGAGCTGCAGGGAAGGTGCTGTTGCTCGGAGAGGGGTAATTTGGGGCCGTGTGATAGCTGTGCTTTTGTGGAGGGTTGACATGGCTCCAGGGGTTGCATGGTACCAGAACACATGCTGGGCTGCTAGACAGAAGCAGAGATGATGTGATTTTTTTGCCACCCTGACGGGAGAATGGTTTGAGTCTGCAGGAGAGTGGTGTATGCACACGCAAGGGGTGTTTATGACTCTCAGGCCAGGGATGTCTGATCTAGAAAGTCTTTGCACTAGAAGGTCCGCTCTAATGTGAACAGGCAGAGTAGCGTAGGGAAACTTTCCTTGCAGTGTTTGGAGCACTGTTTGGTGTTGTGCTGCAGGGAGTAATATCAGGGCCCAGTGAGTTGTGCCTTAAAATATATCACCATTTTAAAGTATCAGAAATCTTTTCGTGGAGCTTTGGGTGGTAGGGTACGGCAGGGAGCAATACAGTGGCCAACCGAGTGCCATGACATACCACCATTTTGGAATGTCTGGATTGTGCCCATTTTGTTCAAGTTCAGTCATACACTTCCTTTTTTTTGGCACTTTGTGTGGTGGGGTCCTGCAGGGTGCAGTATGAGGGCTTATTGAGTTGTGCAGTGATACAACACCATTTGGTAGACCCTAGGTTGTGCCAGTTTCATTCAAGTTCAGTTCTTTGGTTTCTTTTTTAGAGGGAACTTTGCGTGATGGAATATTGCCAGGTTTCCATCTTTTACCTTCCAAAGCATGTCACTGAACTTTAGCTGCTTAGGCATGAGAGGGTCATTTGAAAGAAGCTCTCCATTCACTTCCATTCATTTTGGACTGTCAGTCATTTAATCCACAGGTTTGACCTTCACTTCATGGCTTCAAAATAAACGTTTATCCATGACAGTACAGAAAATGGTATGATAAAGCTGCGACTCAGAAGAAGAAGCACAGAAGACTGTGCTTAAATATCTGAAGTAGAAGCTCAGCAGTATGAAGTACTTTAATAATACAAAGCATGGAGCACGCTCACTTATTACTATCAGTACTACTATAATAATGTAGCAATTAAATAATTGTAATAGAATATTGTAATAAAAATCAATGCAATCATTTGTATTATTTAATATTTTATTTATTTCTTTTATTTATTTATTTAATAATGATCAGTATTAAAGTACATTTCATTGGGGCTGTTTGTTTTCCCTGTGGTGCTGTGTTCTTGCTCTGTTGTTCTCATCTCAGTTTAATTATTTATCTTACAGAAAGTTAATGATGGAGAAAGTCATGACTAAAATTTATATTTTTAAAGTGGACTGATAGGCTGAATGGTTTTGATGATTTTTGTTCCCTTGCTTGAAGCTCCTACAAACAACTTGGCTATTTGCTCCGCATGCTGGGGATTGTCGTCATTAAGTCGCCTGCACAGTGTCATGCATTCCCACTATGCCACTGCATAAGAAGCCAATCAGGAAGTAACATGACTGACCTCACCTGTTCCGCATTGAAAACAGCAGAATGACTGGGTCCAGTTTATATATACTGTCAGTTGGTGCTGCAGGGGGTAATATGAGGGCCTACAG